CCGGTCTCCTCAAACTCACACAATGGCACCTTGGGTTCGAAGAGTCTTCATACATGTTTTGCCTAGATTATTGGTAATGCGCAGGCCGCATTATCAAATTGATAGACGAAGGTATTATTATTATTATTATCGGTTATAAGTTCGCCCTCCCCCTCCCCCCCACGTTTAGACAAAAAAAAATGTTTGTTATCGGGTTTTTTTTTAAAGTTTGACAGGTTCGTCACATAAAATAATGGTTCAGACTTGTAACGGTTATGCAGAAACTTCCGCTTCCGAATTATTAGATGCTTCTCAAGGTGAAATTTTTACAAGAGATGATTTTGGACCCCAAGAATTAGAAGCCATGACGTTGGGAAGCTCATGTAGGATACACGGAACACCAATATTACCACCCCTTTGCGGTGACGTACCACCATTTCCCGGTAACGGACAAGATGCTCCAAATTTTATGGGTAAATATTTAATGACTTCCCTTCATAACCGTTATTATTATCATTACAAAAACGTTAATAAATTAATAAATTAATTTTTTAAGGGGATGAATCATCAGTGCTTCCATCGAGTCCTGTTTGCAGAAAAGTTCATCATTGGCATCACTGCCCAGAACTTCACAAAGCCATCGACGGTGTTAAATATATTGCGGACCATACAAAAAAAGAAGAAGCTGATACCAGGGTAAAATATTTTTCAAAATTCATAAATTTCCCCCCCCCCCCCCCGAATGATTTACGACCGAGCCTAAACTTTTATTTTTTCTTTAAAAACAATTTTCATTAAAAATTAAAAATAAAAATAAAAAAATAAAAAAACTTACCCACAACACCTGCGATGCAAAACTTTTAAAGTTTCCGCTTTTTTTTCTTTTGACTTTGAGTTTTCATTTCCGGTTTGACTAATCAAATTAAATTCATGTTCAAGGTTAAAGAAGATTGGAAATATGTCGCAATGGTTTTAGATCGTTTATTCCTTTGGATTTTCACTCTTGCCGTACTCGTTGGTACTGCCGGTATCATATTACAGGCACCAACACTTTACGACGATAGAATACCCATTGATGTTAGATTATCTGAAATTGCATCAACGACAGCAAAACCACATGTAGCAACTTCACTTTAATACTAATTGTTAGTATGATAATAATGATAATGATAATAATAATAATAATCTCTTTATTATTAATATAGACCATTTAAGCCTTTTTTGTCATTAAATAATAATAAATAAAAGGGAAAAATTTTTAAACAATAAATATTTGTAATTTGTATACAATATACATACACTCACACACAGATAGTAAAAAATAATAATTTTTTTTTTTTAATTGTTCGAAAGCCATTTTGTTTCAATAATAATAATGATAATAATAGTAAATGATTTCCTATTAATTAATTGTATTATTATTATATAATTATGTGTAAATTTTTTTTTTTTTAGAATTTTGTAAACGAGAAAAAATTATTTAAATGATTTTATACTTATCGCTAAATATCTTATATTTTGTGACAAAACCTCGAGATAAATGAAAAGATTGATATTTGATTCTTCATTTTGAAATGATGAATTAGAAATTATTAATCGTTTAAATGATGATGATGATGATGATGATGATGATGATGATGATGATGATGATGGGTTTGCATGAAAGTAAAACGAATGAAAAAAAAGAACGAGTGCTACCAAAATACTCAATGATACTATTTAACTAATTTTTGTTATAAATAAATAGAATTCTTCCAAAATAATAAAATTATTAATTATGTTATCCTTAAAAATAAATTTACTTTTGTTCATATGTTAATTTATTATTATTATTATTATTATTATCGAGTTAAAATTAGTTTGCTACTAATAATTTTTAAAAAAATAGAAAAAAAATATACTCCCAAAATCGATTAATAAGTCATCGAATTAAATTGTAGGAAATATAATTTAAATATATCTATTTACCCTAATAATTATTAATTTATGTGTAATAATAATAATAATAATTAATAAAGAAAATTATTTTACTTACATTGAGTTTATTAATGTCTGGTAGAATATGATCGATATTGTTTTCCCCGAAAAAAAAAAAAAAAAAAAAAAACAAATTTTTTTATAAAGTTTTAAAAATACTCTAATTAATATTTGTAGATGGGAAAAAAAAAAAAAATTTTTTTTGTAACTTTTAGATGACAATTATTAACAATTTATAAATTTATTACTTGTTTATTTAATTTTCAAAAAAATTTAACCGTTAGTTAATTAAAAAAAAAAAAAAAAAGGAAAATGTTATTATTAT